AACAACCTCCATACCATCCTGTGAGTACTAATCCCCACGAACCTTCATACTATCCTCCCCCTGCGGACTACAGGCCGCGTCATGAATATCCAGGGCCACCGCCTCAGCCCAACGGTACTCATCATCAGCCCCCGCTGCATGTCTTGACGGCGGGCCATGAGATGATGCCCGGACAGCCCCCTGGACCGCCCAACTATGGCCCTCCTTCGGCGGGGCCACCTCCATCTGCTGGTGCCTACCCGTACGTCTATCCTGCGCCGTACAACGACCAGCAGAGACGGAAAGCAGTGCGAGCCGCACAAGCATGTGATTCGTGTCGACAACGCAAAGCGAAGTGTGACGAGGGAAGACCCGAATGTCAGCATTGCAAGGACAACGGGTTGAAATGCTCCTATCGAGAGATTCCTCCGCAGAAATCGGAGAAACAGGTCCTTCAGATCACGGCGCAGTTGGATTCACTGGCCGAGGACGTGAAGACGTTGGCGCAAAAGTCGGAAGAACGGGAGGAAAAGATCGACCAGTTCTTGACGCAGCAGAATGAAAAGATGAGCATGTTGCTGGAGCATTTTATGCAGAGTCGACAGACGCCCGCTGCCACCATGGATGTCGCCATGACAGACCCGCCAAGTCATACGCCGATGCGCACCCAGGAGCGACCCAGTCCCGCTCAGCCGCCACCTCCACCGTTTGGCTTCCGGCGACAGGATAGTTCTGAGGTCAGATTTGGCTCGCAAGCGCAAAATCCTTCCGCCGCATCTATTCAGCACATGCGGAACACCGAGATAGAGAGCCTCGAAGATACGCCCATGCCTGCAAAGCACACTACCGCCGCGCAGAATCTTGTCTTGTGGCCGTCAATCAAGGCCTTGATTCCAAGAGGGATCACTCCGTCCTACGTTATGGACGAGGAAACCTCAAGAGGACTCCTCCGATTATATGGATGTGGCGAGGGCGAAGACAAGGGCGACGGTCATGAAGGCGCGCCCAGCCCTGCTCACAGCAATTCCTCCGAAGGTCGACGGGTGGAGGAAGAATCAGCGTCACCGCATGGCGTTTGGGGCAGTGGACAACTGCACGTGCCGATGTCGAATCAAAACCAAACTGCACGAGAGCATCCCGGTGGCCTGAGTCCTGGCGGTGGATTAATGCTGGACTCGGAGGCAGTCGACAAATATTTCCGCAGCTTCATGGAGCACATGCACATCTTACACCCCTTCCTTGAGCCGAAAGTGTTGCGCAACATGGTCCATGCTTTCAAAAGAAAGTACAGCTGGGACTACCGGGCGACCCAACAGATTGCAGCCATTGGCAACAAGCGCAAGCGAGAGACGACCGACTCGCCCAAGTCGATAGATGACTATAATCGGCAACCCACCAAAGTCTACAGCGCCAGTCACGTCCCTCCCATTGAACATTCAATCGCCAATGCCATTGTCTTGCTTGTGGTGGCACTGGGCAAAGTCTGCTCTCACCGGGAACCCTTGCCCGGTCCAGCGTCGACGGCCGCCATGCGCACCTCGACACCACACGGTGCGCTGTACTCGGATCTCCCCCTCCCGGCGTCCGCTCCTACATCGCCATACAACAATCAGGCCACCATGAATGGCACAGTGTCGAGCCCAGCGAATCCGCAAGGCAAGAATATGGACATCATCCCCGGCCTTGCATACTTCGCCAAGGCTGCGGACATCTTGGGAGAACTGCCTGGTGGCGCCGATGTGTCGCACATTCAAGCGTATCTGCTTGCGGGCCTGTACATGGGCCAGCTAGCGCGCATCATTCCGAGCTATTTCTACATCAACAAGGCTTGCATTGCAGCTCAGATCCTGATTGAGTCCACACCCTATGTGACCAATACCATGAAGCCGGCCCGGCGAAATCTGATCAACTTCGCGTTCTGGTCGTGCTTGCAGCTGGAAAGTGATATTGCGGCCGAGCTGGAATTGCCTCTTAGTGGGATCGGGCGTTATGAGAGTCCTCAGCACAAGGAGTTCCCGACCAAGATCACCTTGGATGCCATACCTGAGTCAAGCGCCGACGACGACATTCTCAGGTTCTACTCGTACCAGATCCAGCTTCGGACCACGATGAACAGTGTACACGCCACGCTCTACCGGGAATCGAAGAACCTGCAGACGCGTCCGAGTGACAGCATCATGTCTGCGCTGGACGACAACTTGGAAAACTGGAGAAAGATGCTGAACGACTGGGATTGGGACGACAACGACCACGAACACCCAAACATCAACGTGGCCCGCATGCGAGGGAAATATTACGGGGCCAAGTACATCATTTGGAGACCGACTCTGCGCTTTGCTCTTCTGCAAGCGATCCATGGCCCGAGACCGAAGCGGCCGTCAGAATCGCCCGCGGCATATGGCCAGGGGTCCGAGGTCACGTCACCCTCGGTCTCGAACCTCAACTCCTCGCAGCCGGGTGGGAGGGATATCCCTTTCATTCGTCCGGAGCTCCTCGAGGGCTCGAGAAAGTGCATCGAGGCGGCCATTCGCAGCACAACATCCTTTGACAAAGTGCCTCGCCGCCTGGTCGTGACCAACATTTTTGGCACGACGCACGCGTGAGTAACATATCCAGCTCGTCACGATTGGTGTACTGACAATAGCAGGCAATTTGGGAACATGCTTGTCCTGTATGCGACTTTCACCTCACCTCATCCGGGCCTCAGTTCGCTCGTGCAAGAGGACGTGCTGCGACGACTGCACGATCGCACGGTCCGGATTCTACGAGAGAGCGAAGCCATTTCGCCGGTCCTGGCCAAGGATCTCAAGATCCTGGAGCATGTACGGAGGCAGGTGTTCCCCCCCTCGAATTACCCTCCGGGAAGCACGGCGTCGAGCTTCTCGAATCGGTGAGCCCAACGGCATCGGACCGGCTCGAGCAGATTTGATTCTCTTTTGTACATGTACACATTGATATCCCGGGCGGAGCTCTGTCAGTAAAATTCTTGCATGTGTTGCGCTATACGTGTGTGTTATGTGGGCAGGTCCTCCATTTCCTGCGAAAGTCGTGGCGGCATTTGTCCAAGCGTTCCGAGCGAAAGAACTACCAATCGTCAGCATCGTCCCTGTGTCCGGCATTTTCGGGTGTCCGAAATCATCCAACAGCAGCAGACAAGAAGAAGCTCACCACCATATTTCCACGGAGTTCACGATCATACTGAAATTACAACTGTTTTCTAACGGCCTATGGGAGGAATTCGTCGAATGTTTCGCATATCGCTGGTTGCCCGACGTCGCCGCACCCTAGCTTGTATATGGGGGGAGGAGGAATGTACAGCTACGCGAAGGATGGTCGGGTGGCAGAGTCACCAGCAGCTATTACCTTGTTGTCACATACTATATACCTGATTGGGTGGGACGAAGGAAAGAGAAGGCGAGAGAAGATCAGGCGAGCAGCAGTAGCAGGTGTGTTTGTGAGGGACAGACGTTGCGGAGAGCTGCTTTTCATCTACTGTAGTCGCGCAGGTCAACACAGGCGGACGGAGGACGGTCGGTCACAGACAGGTAATTGAATTCACTTGTACGAGTACTCTACCTAGGTATCTATCTACCTTTATATACCAAAAGCCCCAATGTCGAATCATGGAGCTCCTCTGGATCCGGGGCAGCTCGAAGGCCGCGAACAACCACGCCAGCGAGGACAGTCAAGAGGGGGGCACTCCTGCACGACATAGGCGCTCTCGGCGTGTTTGGGCTCCTCAAGCTTCAGCAGACTCGGAGCACTTGACGTGCATACATTGCATGCATTGAGGCATGTCATTGTTGAGGAGCACCCGCATACACTCACATACTGTAGGCTGTAGCGTTTTAGGGCGCCACCGTGCGCAAAGAGTCCGAGACCAGTAGCCTTCATCGCGGGTCGACGATCGCGCACTGATCCCCCAGTGCCTGCTGTTCCTTTCCCCAAACGATCGGCCTCGCCAGCTGCTGCTGCCCGACGCGCTAAAACAACAAACAAATGGCGTAGAGGTACTCCCTTGTGCCAGCGATCACGGAGACAGGTCCGCTCTTCGCCGTCGAGGGCCGCGGGACGAGTAATGAATGATGAATGCAACGAGCGGGGATACCAGTACTCAGTATGAGGTATGTATTCATAGTCGGAGTGAGCGCGAGAGAGTAGAGTGGATAGACTTGCGCGGAGTTTGGAGTACCGAGCTTCGCAATAAGAGTACGTAGGTACCTACAATACTCCCTCGCTCCGTACAAACAACACTTGAACCCATAATTCATACATAGTAGATGAAGAGCTATGCATCCTTTGGAAGCTACGGAGGAGCTCTTTTGTTTCAAGGCGTGTATCGCACCATGTGAAGCTTACCTACAGTACGTGGAGCCTATTATCGAGTTAACACTTGCTACAGCTCAATCTCACTAATTGGAACGGAGTACTCCGTTCCTCGAGTACCTACTGTAGTTCGCTGGACGACATGCCAACTACCCAGATCGTACCTAGCGAGAATCCCCTGGCTAGAGCTCTTCGGGCCATACAATCTTTGCCTTTTCCTGCCAGCAGCAGCTCAGTATCTATCCCTGCTGTGCGAAGCAACAAAGTCCCTTTCACAGCATCGAACTGCTCGTACTCCGTACGCAATAGCCTGGTGTTGTACAACAGAACCCTGATGACATTGTTTAGGTGCATGTCAGCAAGGCTATGGGAGCCTGCCACGTGATCACATCGTGCAATAATATTCCTGTTCAATTGAAAGGACTACAAGGAGCTCGCGTGAGGATTTACTGTCCCATTCATGGCTTTGAAACAAGATCTTCACCATTTGAGGGATCTTAGTTGATGCTTGACAAAGTCAACTTTACGTTTGTTCCAACGGCTGTCTGAGGACTCTGCCTCGCACGAAAGATTCCTATGCACAATATGTCTTCCTACTAACAGCAATCCAAAGGAGTTCTTCGACATGATGGCTCGGGCAAACCCGAATCTACCAGTTCCCCCTTCGTTTCCATCTCCTGCTGAAGTCAGAAAAAATGCCAACGGCCTATTCCAGAGAGATCTTCGGTAGCTGGACCACCCTCCGAGACATTTTGGGACGTCGCGAGGAGGTGATTCGAAAACGCTGGGTGAACAAGACAAAAGAACAACGCAAGAAAGTTCTCTTCGCCGCTTGGCCAGGCATGCCCCGAGCGACATCGACTCGATTTCTACGAGCTTGAGAAGACCGGATCCCGTGCTGCGTCCAGAAATATCGAGGCTTTCAAATATCCCCATGTCAACCAAGAAGATCTTCTTCAAGGCAGAGGATTGTTATTATTCTTAGATTCACGCGGTCGAAATCCACCCCAGACCTTCGCCCACGCCGATCTCAACGCAACGCATGTTGGACAGACTAGCAAGATGATCATACCGGTATTCCTCAACGAATACACAATGTACATCGCTAGCGAATCAGAGCTAGATAGCTACAGTCGCCTGGTTAGCTGGGACGATGACGACGACGTATTCATACTGCAGCATAATTGTCTCTAGTTCCAGCCTGGGACGCCGCTTCTCGTTGTAGAGATTCAGAGCAGGATCCATTCTTTCCTTCTTGATTGCTGCTTCCAACTATTCCACGATGTCCCACGGGACGAGCTGACCAGCCTCCAGCTTCCTGGGCAACCAGAGCCGCCCCCGATTGTTGCTTCTGGGACCTCCTATGCACAACTTTCTTCAGTAGCAGCAGAAGCGCCATACAGACTACCGGCCAAGCTTGATACACGTCGACTTGTTATCCTAGTAGAGGCCAAGCGAGCTGCTGCCGAAGACCATGTTTGGGATCTCAGAGAAGATCCAGGGTATTTCGCATCGGTGGCCGTTGATCAAGCGCAGCATCGCCAGGAAAGCCTTCTCGACATAAGGGGCCAAGGCCATCCACACGACGATAACGAAGTTTTCTGGAACCGAGTGATAGGAAGCGTGGCGAGCGAGGCTTACATATCCTTTCTCAGTTGGGATTTGCTTTACAACTACGCAGTCAGTCTCGACGATGCATTCAAATCTGCCCGAACCCTTGACCATGACCAACCTCTGCCCGAGAAGCTCGAGGCCGCCCTGGTGGAGTTGTGCATCGCTGCCGAAATGGTCTCAAAAGGTCTGATTAGAGCTCTGAAATCCAGCGTGCCAGCTTCGCCACCAATGCGCGAGCGCTTTGTTCGAGAACCCCAACAACCAGGAACAAGAACCCTAGCGCAGCTTTCTAACCGTGTAGATGAGTTACAGCGATGCGTTGACCACGATTCTGGTCAGAAGGGCAGAATGTCGTCCTGTGTCACCGGGTATTTCTCCGACCTAGCCCTCATTGCGCAAATTGTTCTGCAGGTAAAGACCTTCTTTCCATGGGCCGCGGGTTGGAAATAGAGATGAGCCCGGAGACCCGGGGTCCAGGATACACTAAAGCAACTGAAGACGCAGCAACTGTGTATCAATTTTTCCGTGAAGACATCACTCCGAACCTCGCGCGCATCGTCGTCCCACTCTCACGACACTTGAAATATCCCAAGGAAAGGGCCCACAACCTGACAAACGTGAACGCCTGCCGCCAGGCCGAAGGTCAACTGGATAGGTTGTGGAAGGTGGTCGATGCGCATTTTCGAAAACATACCAGCAAGACACTTCACGAGAGATTCCTCCGTCGCGGTGTGAAAGCTGGAGAGATCCATCGCACGCCAGAATGGACACCTCCACCAAGACTGTCCCCGCCGCCTGACAAGGACAAAGAAAATGAAGCTCTTGGCGACTCATTTTCCCGAGGCCTTGATATCGAACCCGACACACCAGGCAAATTCAAAGGACCCGAAGTGTTTCGAGCATCCAAGATCAAAACCCGCAGCCCATCTCACCCGCCCGATTCCGGCGGCGGCGCAACACCACCTGTACCCGACGAACCGACTTCCTGTTCGACGCCCGCCTCGCCAGTCTTCACCCTCCCGCGACGCGCATACAAAGTCTTCGCCGCTCCCTTCCCAACACCCTCCAACCCCTCCCACCAGGGCGGCGAAATGGCCTGGACGGATTGCCTGCACGCCATGACGAGCATCGGCTTCGCAGCGTAGAAGCTTTATGGCTCCGTATGGCAGTTTACCCCGCCGGACGGATTAGATTTGGGCAACACGAACGTTCGGGGAATTCATATCTACGAACCGCATCCAGCGCCGAAGATGGAGCTCGGCGCGGCGAGACGGGTCGGGAGACGATTGGGACGGAGGTATGGACTTGGCGCAGAGAGGTCTGCTTTGGCGTGAAGGAGGCAATTGGGGAGGGAGAGGAGATGAGAGGAAGACATTGAATTTCGTTCGAAAGGTCTTGTTTACGAGTGTGTCAAAGTGATTTAGTAAAGGCCAACAGATTGCTTGCCGCTTGATCAGACCGGATTGAGTGAAATACTGTGGTGCCAACCCTTCTAATTGTAACCGAGTCACCTAAGGTAGTTGTCCAAAATACAGGGTACAGGGAAGGGATTTCTTCTAGAGGGCAACATCATTACTGTACCCCAGCCCGACAGTTCCAGCATCGTGGAAGAATGGAGCCATGTTGTGATCCCCTAGTATCTCAAGACCAGGTCTCGTCGTATAGAGTTAAAAATTGACCAAATCGATATGACAGACGAGGAGGAAGAGAGAAGACTACTCGTAAGGGCTCAGGCGGACAACAGGAACACTCGGGGAGCGGTCAGGGGAAGCAGCAGGTGAGCCAGAGGGTGAGCAAAGCGGCGAGCGGCTAATCACAAAGGGAAGATGAAGAACAGGCTCTTTTGCATGATATGATACGAGGGTACTCGTACTCTGTACGTATCTCAGGCAAAGTAGGTACTCGTACTCAGCCACGTTCGGAGCCGACAAAACTTCGCAAGGTCGCTTGGCGTCGCCGGCCTTGAATGTTGCGTGGTGGATTGTGTGGGGTCTCGAAGGTAACGAGGACACGCCGCCACCCGCGCCACAGAATCCATCGGCTTGGCAACAATTACGTAAGTCACGTTCTTGTAGCATGTCACGTGCGTGTTTCCCCATTCGAACTCCTAGCCAGCTCCGGCTTCCGGCTGTTTGTCGTCAGAACTAAGCCGGCAGCAGCGCCGCATATACTCTTATCACTCTATCAATATCGACCTATCTAGCACTGGCAGTGACGATAGGTTGCAGCTTGGCAACAAAGGATGGTACATTTTCCATGGCCCGAGCTACAGTATTCAGCAGTCCCATTTCGCTTTTAGAAGTCTGTCATCTACGATCCCCGTGCCTCTGCGTTCTTCGCAGTAACCAGTCCCTCTACACTGTAGGTGTAGGGCCTTTCGCCGACTCGGAGCAGGAATTTCTCGATTGTTTCGTCCATGCAGAACAGCACTCGTTGCAGGTCGTTCGTGTGGTCCAGAAGGCAAATAGACTTCCACGTTCCAACGACGAAGAATACATCCGAGGCAAGCGACATCATGGCACTAACGCTACGCCGCTGGCTCATGGGCGAGTGGACGAGCTCTTCTTCACTCCGCGGTAGACAGATAACGGCAACTTTCCGAGAGAGGCCTTGAGCCGAAGCGACGTGTTCGATGGTTACGGCCGACCAGCCATTGCTCGTGGACTTGAATGTTAGAAGATCGTGATACTCGCGCGAGCCATGAACCACGATTATTTCATCTGCTTTGCACGCATCGCTGCAAAGTAACGCGTTTACGACCGTCTCCACACAGCTAACTTCGGGGTCGATGCTTTCATTTCGCCTGTCACGGATGTCGAAGAAATGTGCAAACGAAGAGATCCTCGCGGTGCCTCCACGATTGTCCTCGATCCGCACACCTGCCTCGAATCTCGTCAGGAGTTTGGTCAAGAACGGCCCTGGGTTGGTCGTGCTTCGTGCCGCTGAAATTAGGCTGCGATAGAAGACAAAGCTTGTCAGATACCACAGGTCCGAGTGCGTCAAGTAGTTGACGTCGAGCAGTTGCCGGGGCCATTCTCTGTCCATCATGCTCTCAAAGATCGATTTATCCCAGGCCATGCGTCCCGCTGCTGTGGATGCGGAAGGACTACTTTGGATGTGGTCGCCCAGGAGAACCAACCGGGTCAGGGACTCTAAATGCGCAGAGATTGGGACAATCAATTCGTAATGCCTGATGCTGCCAGCATCGTCACCGATAAGGACCTGAGCATCCCAGTGTTTCAGGAGTCGCTCAATCCCAGACGTTGCGTACGTGCAAATGACGACTCGAACATCTTGGAGCTCGTCTGTCGTGCGCGGCAAGAATCGCAGATGTCCGAACCGAACACCGCATAGATGTTGACGTATGCTGAACCCGGAATCGATCTGGTCCGCTGCAGCATTTGACCTCGAGCAAACGAGGATCTTCGTTTTCGGAGCCTTACGTAGGATAGCCTCCGTCGCGAAGACGATAGTCGCCGTCAATGCACAGCCACGGGGAGCGTGAATGAGTGACACTGGGTACGCGAAGATGTTCTGAATCGCCTTCTGCTGAGACGGGTTGATGTCATCGAAAGGGGAGAAATCGACCGAACACCCCTTTTCTGCGAGTGGCACAACGTCTCTGACGGCCTTGCCTTGGTACTCAAACATTGCTTTGATGGGTAATCGATATGTGGTGTTCGTTTCTGGTCCTGATAATGAAGTCCTCATTGCTCTTACCGCTGCCGTAATCGCTCCGCCGTCCACTCGTTCGGCTTTCATGGCGGCTTCTTCAGCGTCGAGGAAGGCCATCATATGCGGGTCAAGCGTCTCTGAGGTACCCGAAACACCATCCATCATCACATCGCGGTCTGGCTGCCGGGTATCTTTGCGGGCGTGGCCAAGCTTTGCTTCGGTTATGAGTCGGACAATTAACTCAGAATGCCATTTCCGGCTGCGAAAAGCGTCCAACAAATGCAGCTTGACCCAGGTGAACAGCTTATATGATCGAGCGAGAGGAAAGACGTTTGTGGTAGCCAAAGAATTCCTCAGGGTGTCATGCTCACGGGAAAGGGTAGCAGTCGGCGAATCGTCAAGCATGCGCACAACCAGCTGCGTGTTGGGTTGGCCGCCAGCATTTGGGGTCCACGAGTCATATCGCGGATCTAGATAAACCCAGTCACCTCCAGCATTGCGCTTCTTCAAGGCCTCGAATAGAACCTGCTTCGGTTCGTACTCAACTGTGAACCTGTGGTTGCCGATAACGTTCCAGATTTTCACACTTCCGTCATACCGGATCTCACAATGGTATTCGGAACGAGGGTTGGCGGACCCTGTCCCAAGGTCGATGTACTTGCTAGTACTTCCAGTCTCAATCTGGTAGGAAATTCGTACGCGCGACTCGACAGATTCACCTAGGGCTTGTGGACGCTTGTTGTCTGGGTGGCTGTGGAAGGACATGGTTCGACGGTCAGGGGAAAGAGACATCGGCTACTTTTAACAGTGAAATCCAGCAGGCAGAACCTTCATCGCCCGTATGTAGATCGAGACATGCACATCGGTCGGGTGTCTTCGGACGTTGTTATATTAGCAAGGACCCGGCCGCTGCCTAACTACTGCATATGCGCAAGACCTGAGCAGAAAGGAAGCGAGCTTGTGTAGGTCCAGCGTTTGCCGACAGAACTGGCGAACGGCAGGAGGCAGCAAAGGCACTGGACCGGCCTAGGACGCGTCTATCAGCCCTGCATTTGGCTGAGGAGCGGTGAGGCTGGAAATGGTGTGGAGCTTACTAGGAAAAGAACATCATTCCAATGTCGACGCTGCGCTGAAAGAACAAGTTATTGTATTTTTGAGATGGCGGTGATCCAGGGAATGCTTGAACAGACTGAATGACGCCGAAGTGCGTTTAGAAGACCACACAGCGCAGGCAGCGACGGGATTGTAATGTGTTGGAGGGGGAAGTATGGAGTAGGTCCGACAGCAACGCAGAGAGAATGCGCAATATTGAGTGTATCGACAGCGGGATAGCACAGAACTCCAGAAAACGCGGTACTTGTGCGTCAATACGCGGGCAGCTGAAGAAAGAGCATACTCAGGTTCTCGTCGTTGGAAGAGGATCGCTGCCATGCAGGATTTCATTGGTCAACGAAACGCCTGGATCTACCGCAGCAGACTGAGCAAAGGCGGCAGGGTGTGAAACGGACTCGGAAGCGGCTGTTCTGCACGAGTCGTTAGCTAGCAGTCTCGCGGCCTTTGTACTTTTGATGTTCTGCGACAAGGGAAGATGTTGGGGGAATTGTCTTGGCTGCCATTCAATTCTTCGTCGGATGGAGACTGCAACAAGCGGCACCGTAGAGGTTGCCAGGACGCAAAGAGCAGGAACGGGAGCTGTGTACTGTGTTACACCTAGCTGCTGTCATGAGTGTCATTACGCCACTCTTTGCCCAGGCCAAGATAAGTAGGAGGTTAACAAGTCGTGACAGTACCCAGTAGAGTAAAGGCTGAGAACAACAAGGCTGTACGGGGAGTTCCAGGCATCCACCGTCGCGAAGGTGGGTACTCCGAGGTGAAGATCAGGTTCGGATATGGGGCTCCCGACACTGACGCGTCGCTGCGGTTGGTTCTGGCGGTGCCTGGTGCCCCCCGAGTCTCCAACCTCCAGTGAATTAAGGCCTGGAGAGGCTGAAGCGCCAGAAAGGCAGGGAAGCCTAGCTCGGTTAACGCAAACGAGGCAGCAACGTCACTGTCTCACTCGGCACGCTTGAAAAGCTGCGCCCAGGCGTTCATGCAACCTGTGAGTGCTCCCCATAGGCTGTCACGACCGCATTTCGCCTTGCACGCGATGAGTTAGGCGCTGAACAAATTCGAACCACCTTCACTACGACCTTCTTTTGCCCGTCGCCATCCTTCAATCTCCCATACCCTCAGAAGGCTTTGGCAGTCAACATGGATCAGAACAATCTCAGGCGCAAAGACACCACCAAAGGCCCGCCTCTGCGCATTCTCTCACTCGGTTCGTGAACCTCTCCGTGTATTTGCCGCGATACACTGACGCAGGTAGATGGCGGAGGCGTGCGCGGCTATTCCATGCTCATTATCCTTCGAGAACTGATGCACAGAGTCTACGTCGAGACCGAAGGGAAACCGCCCGACGGCCAGACTGGCACCCCGAAGCCATGCGACTACTTCGATCTCATTGGCGGCACCGGTACGGGAGGACTGATCGCTATCATGCTAGGCCGACTGCGCATGGATCTTGAGACGTGCATGGACGTCTATGTGAAGATGACGAGAAAAGTGTTTGAGACCGACAAGACATTCGCAGGCATTCCCTACAAACATACGCTTTTTAAGGCGTCCAAACTAGAGGAGGCCATCAAGCTATGTGTCCAGGAACACACACTATTCGAAGACGAGGGAAACGACGGCACAGCATCCGGGGGAAGAGAGTTTCAAGATCTAACGAGCCCCCTGAGCACCGCGAGCACCGCTGCAATGAGAAGATCAATGAGCATCAGGAGCAATAACTCGATCAACAGCCCCTCAACACCGATCCGCAACTCTATCGTCTCTCCGTCCTTCCCAGCTTGGGGCAACGCCAACGCAAGTCTATACGACCACCGGCCCAACCGAACCAAGACGTAAGTGAGCCTTTTAGGTGCAGACTTAAGCCATAACTGACAGCACTAGTGCGGTCACTGCGGTGCTACAAGGTACCAATCCTCGAACTGGTACATCTATCCTACTACGGAGTTACGACAGCCGCAAAGAGCCTCCTCCTGAATACAACTGCAAGATCTGGGAAGCTGGGAGAGCCACATCCGCTGTGGGTCTGGCCTTCAAGCCAATCCAAATCGGCCAGACCGTCTTCATCGACGAGGGCGCAGGAAAGTACAATCCAGCACCACAGCTTCTCGAAGAGGCAGCAGTGAACGAGTGGCCGGGTCGAGAGGTTGGCGCCTTTATCAGCATTGGCACAGGGAAACGTCCAGAAGGCACGAACGCCCGACAACATGAGTGGTGGGAAGGATTCGTTGGCGGCAGTATGGGGGCTTTTGCCGAAGCTCGACGCCGGCTTGTTGCTAAGATCGAGGGCTGTGAGGAGACGCACCAACAAATGCTCAAGACAGAGCTCGCTAAGCGCGGAGTGCCTGTCGAGAACTATTGCCGGCTGAACGTCTCTGTTGGCCTAGGCGAATTCGCCATGAATGAATGGCAGTATCTGTCGCCGATGACGATCAACACGAGGAAGTACCTGAATGAACCACCGGTACAGAAGGCACTAATGGAGATGGCGACCAAGATCGCCAAGATCGAGCTGATGAAACGACGACAAGAACGCCTCGCTCAATACACCCAGGAGTCTAGCTGGTCACTGAGACAGAGTAACCTGCCTCCAACCCCGTCTCACCCACACGCGGTTGAGCTACCTGCCGACGAAGAAACATACCAAACCACACCTCCTCAGCATTATCGTGTACCTGGAAACCCTCCATATCCAGACCAATATGCTCCATCAGAAGACAAGTTCGTGCTGGTTCCTGGAGAATCAACCCCCCCACGGTTGTCGAGCGATTTGCCATACCGAGGAAGAGACGACAAGATGGTGGTGCACCAACCACCTTCTGTCTCTGCATATAATCAGTCGCAACTACCACCCCCCAGACCTCCCAAAACTCCCATCAACGATCCAGCCCCTTCTGTTCGTCCTCTACATCATATCTCACCCGTCAGGCCTTATGGCGCACCGCGGCCCCCTTATCCCGACGACGACGAGGCGCCACCACAGGTCAACAGGTACAAGAAGCCAGAGTTCATTCCGAGATGAGCAGGGCAGCTGGTGGTGGGATTGTCTCACTCTATCGACAATTTGCAATGCCGGAGCGTTGGGAAGTCCAGCCAATCGCAAATGATTGTACGAGTTCATGAATCTTACTTTTGGTCACATAGATACCCACATGAGTATATAGGTATTGGTATACAACCATCTAAATGTTTTTCTTTAGTAGAGGAAGCAGAAACCTGCACCTTACCAGGGATTCGTCTGTCAAGAGAGATCCCTGTAATTGAGGTCCGCCGTACTTCTATTCCGGCGGAGCACAGGCCCTGACCCGCCCTCGCCACAGCCCAGTGGCACTTTGTTCTTGGTCGTCTGCCTCGTATCTCAACTGGGCGATTCAGTCTTCGCTGTCCCTCTGCTCAGAGCACAATGTAAAATGCCGGCGGCCACGTCTCAGCCGCCGGTCAAGCTTTCGCTTCCCTTGGTGAGTCTTCCTTGATGTAGCACTATCTATGTATGAAGGCCACGACACCTTCTTCCGCCCTTGTTTGTTAACCGGTTCGCAGCAATTCCAGCAGGAAATCTATCAACTATTGCGCGCAGAAGATGTCCTAGTCATACTCGCTCGAGGATTGGGCCTCCTGAAAATCGTGACCAATCTGTTGCATACATACGATGCAGCAGGCAATTCGCTAGTCATCATCGTAGGAGCGGAAGATCGTGAAAATGAGTGGATCGGCGAAGCACTGGCAGAGCACTATGCGATCTCCCGAACTCCTCTGGCGAAAGGCCTTCGCGTCATCAATACTGACAAGGCCACAGTGACAGCACGGGAAAAGATCTACTCAGAGGGGGGCATCGTCTCAGTCACCGGCCGCATCTTGATTGTGGATCTCCTCTCCAAACTGCTGGACCCAGAAACTGTGACCGGGCTTGTGGTTCTCCATGCGGAGCGAGTCGTCGCTACCAGTATCGAAGCGTTCATCGTCAGAAGCTTCAGACAGCACAACAAAATCGGCTTTCTCAAAGCCTTCAGCGACTCTCCGGAACCACTGATCTCATCATATGCACCCCTGGCGAGCATGATGCGAAACCTCTTCTTGAGAAAGCCTTCCCTATGGCCAAGATTCCACGTCTCCATTGCGCAAAGCCTAGAGGGCAAGAAGAAAGCGGAAGTCATTGAGTTGGAGATCGAAATGACAGCACCCATGAAAGCAATCCAGCAGGCCGTCATGGAATGCGTCGAGACCAGTATATCAGAACTCAAGAAGGCCAATTCAGGCCTTGAGATGGACGACTGGACGCTAGACTCTGCCTTGCACCAAAACTTTGACGCCATTGTTCGTAGGCAACTTGACCCGGTCTGGCACCGAATCAGTTGGCGAACGAAACAGATCGCAAATGACCTGACAGTGTTGCGGACCATCCTACACTCTCTTCTCAGCTACGACTGCGTGTCGCTTCTCAAATATCTCGACACCGTCCTTGCGACGCATTCTCCACCGCCTAATTCCAGGCAGCAAGATCAATCGCCTTGGCTGTACATGGATGCCGCTGCAGTCATCTTCAACTCAGCCAGGGGCAGAGTATACTCTGGAAAAGTCGAAGACCACGGCGCTCTGCCCACGTCGAAGCTGCCCGATTCTTTGACGCCGGTCCTGGAAGAGCAACCAAAATGGGCGGTCCTTGCGGAACTCTTACAGGAAATTGAGACTGATGCATATCTGATGCCGACACGAAGCGACTCCAACGAGACGATATTGGTGATGTGTAATGACCTGAGGACCTGCCGGCAAATACGCGAATATCTTCAGACCATGCACGTAAAGCCCACTCCGCAAGACACGAATGATGGTCGAGCTCCTCACGAGATCGAAGAGCAGGAAGCGAAGGGCTCTGCAGAGTTTATGTTACGACGAAAGCTTCGAGAGTACCTAGTATGGAGAGATACATTTAGCCAAGTCAGCTCCTCACTCTTCGAGGAGAACCAGAAATCGCTCAACAACATCAAAGGGAACAATACCGCCTCTGCTCGCCTCAACAGCAAGGCACCGGCAAACAAGCGAAGACGCGTCAGAGGTGGAGGTGCTTCAGGGCTCAATCCCTTCCGCACAGCTAGTGGGGCAGTTGCCATGGTCGAGGACAAAGCAGCACACGTTGCCAGTCTGCTTGCAGATCTGCGACCGACAGGGGCCGAAGCCCTTCAGAAAGAAGATGTGATGGTTGACGATTTGACCGAAGCTGGAGAAGACTTTTTTGAGTTGTATACCCCGGAAGACCAAATCGTTGTACACCCATATGACGGCGACCAAGACGACCAACTGCTCGAAGAGATCAGGCCGAAGTACATCATCATGTTTTCACCATCCGCAGATTTCATACGGAGGGTCGAGGTGTACAGATCAAGTCATTCAGATCGGAGTGTTCGAGTTTATTTTCTCTATTACGGCAACAGTGTCGAAGAACAGCGGTACCTATCCGCGGTTCGACGAGAGAAAGACGCTTTTACAAAGCTCATCAAAGAGCGGGGCAGCATGGCAGTCACCCTCGCTGACGCTAACGTTGACCCGGAGGAGGCATTTTTGCGTACTGTCAATACTAGGATTGCAGGCGGCGGACGACTTGCAGCCACGGCAGCCCCTCCACGCGTGGTTGTCGATGTCAGAGAGTTTCGTTCATCATTGCCAAGTTTGCTCCACGGCCGAAGTATGCAAATAGTGCCGTGTCAACTTACCGTTGCCGACTACGTCCTTTCGCCCGATATCTGCGTGGAGCGGAAGTCGATTCCGGACCTGATCGGTTCGTTCAACAATGGACGGCTCTACAATCAAGCAGAGACGATGCTTCAGCATTACAAGTATCCGTTCTTGCTGATCGAGTTTGACCAGAACAAGTCCTTCACCCTGGATCCATTCGCCGACTTATCGGGCACGTTGAAAGCGCCCGATGCCGAGACGAGGAGCTTGCAAACGAAACTTGTTCTTCTCACGATCCGATTTCCCCGACTGAAGATCATCTGGGCATCATCACCATACCAGACTGCCGAAATCTTCGAAGAACTCAAGAAACAGCAGGAAGAGCCAGATCCATATAAAGCGGTACAGGTCGGCTTAGCCGCTGGCGAAGACCCGGAAGAGAGGACGTTTAACACAGGTCCTCAGGAATTGCTGCGAACCATCCCGGGAGTGACTGACAAAAATGCAAGTCGGCTGTACCTGGAAACTCGAAATGTGCTAGAGGTTGCCAACATGAGCCTCGAAGAGCTGGATCCCCTTGTTGGCCGAGAAGCTGGGCGCCAGATTGTCCGATTCTTCACTCGGAGGGTCGGTGACGAGGAGGATCAAATCATGTGAGCCATTGATCAGATTACGGAGTATCAATTCGAAAGCCGTGAAGATCAATCTGTGAACGCACACTCGGTCCATTGGAGCGTGCCTGACCTCAATACGAGACAGAACAGGGCCGCTCCACGCATCTCACAGCCTCATTGGAACCCAGCATCCAGCTCGCCTCGACGACTCGGATATAATACTTTGACGTGGCTTTACGACGGTAAACGACCGAGCCCAGGGTCACTGTGTCTTGAGATATGCCTACCTCATGGGGTATGTCAAGAGCTTCCCTTTGCCCTATACTACTACCTTCGGTGTAGCCACACCAATAGGGATGGGAGTTGTGTCACACTGGCTGCCGGCGCTGGCTTTTCTCCCACGTTATCTTCATCGCTCGAACTACTGTCTCTTCCACCAGTCTCGACTATACCAACAAGTCCGCTAAATGCCAATATCAGACCGGCATGAAGCGGACCGTGGACAACTGTATTGTCACCCCAATCTTCGAGCCAGAGTTCAGGCATCTACATCATAAATACAATTGTCTAACCCAGCTCAACTCCGCTTGCCCCTCCATCACCAATACCGAACCCGACTCTGCCACCCCAGCAAAATTCTCCAGTCACAATCGGCTGGAGTGAGCACCATGGGTGTGACTACAGAGCTTCAGCCTACAGTTGCTGCTATACCACAGGCCGCGGATTCCCGGTACGTTGACAAGCGCTCAGGGTGGAGGCTCAATGAGCCCATTGGGGCCACCGGGGCGTACAGGCGCGGACAGGAGGAGTCTGGGATCTTGGGAATGGCTAATAGGTGCGGTGGGCGCTCTATGTGGTGTAGTGCAATGGCGGCAGTCACTGGGTTCAGAAACCGGCTCCAAATTACCTGTGCAGAATCATCAACAAATGGAAGGACACTTCGTGCCTTGGAATTTGAATCAACATGCATAGCAGCATTCGTGTGTAAACAAAGAACGTTTTGCAAACTTCTAATTCAAAACTGAATCCAGCGCCCGAACTCCCATCGGTCATGATCACGGTCGTATTTGAGTAATGCTGTTCATAAGACTGCTGCACCACCCCATCAAAGGCATTGGAGCAGCCACGTCAATCTCGATGGATGCAAAAGCAACGCCGCTCTCCGTCTAGATGTCGTCGATGTCGACATCCTTGTCCGAGTCGCTGTCCCGATCCTCGTCGAACTCGACGTTGTCGTCCACGCCCTCATGACCGTAGGTATCCGTCTCGTTGATCTTCGCACTCTCGGGCAATTCTCCGTACGCCTTGAGTGATCTCGCCTCGTCGGCACTGTACTTCAGAATCACATCGCCCTTCTCGTCCTGATAATCCCGCAGCGACAGCAAGATGATGTCTCCCTGGTTGATCCAGACCTTCTTGCGTAGTTTTCCCCGGATGTGAGCGAGGCGCTTCTCGCCGTCGAAGCACAGAGCCTCGAGCCGGCCGTTGCCTAACATCTTCAGCACCTGAGCATATTCTTGGCCCTCTTCCTTGAAGGTGAGTTCGCGCTTTTCGTTGTCGTTTTCGTTCTTGCCTCGACGTCGATTTTTACCACCCTAGACATACGTGAGCTAGTGCAAATGTCCAGGGTTTTGTGTAGAGGTGGTTGTTGGCTGCTGTTTGTGGCCCTCGCTGGTGGCGGGGTATTTGTGTGGAATGAGGCAGGCGGCATGCGGTGTGGCGGCTGTGGAAGTGGGATGTTGCAGACTCACCTTTCCCTTATTCTTAGGCATGTTGAGCGGTTCTCAGCAGGAGAGTGTGTCGGTCTGTCAGTGTGGAGTGATAGCCGGTTCGTGAGAAATTGTTCTAGTGGACTGCCTCTCGGAGGGGTGGTGTAGGTGATTTTGGGAAGAATGACTGCGAAATAAAGCGAAGATCAGTGCGCGGGCGGTTGACGTTGTTTGTGCCTGCGCCTGCAACGAGGCTCGCAGTCATTGGGTGCGGCAGACACTAATTAACGTGAGGCACGTGATTGGCAGGCCCCCCAAAGCATTCCTTGCATTGTTCGTGCGCCGCCCAGGCCGCCTCCCCAAGGTCCTTTCTCTCGCCGGGCAAAGATGTCTCTTCGATGGCACCTGTTGCGCTCAGTCGCTCTTTCAGAAACCTCCCAGTCCCAGCAGCGCTAGGCTTCGGACTAAAAGCACGTTACACTCCCAGCGAGAATGTCCCGACACTCTTCGACCATAAATTTATCGTCGATCGGTACAGCCCCAAACGCGCTGCAGTGGTCGACTATTACTCGCGACTCCCTCCTGACAGACTCTCCTGGCGTGTCATCACCAACATCAGCTCCAAGCAGGTCAACAAAGCCGTGCTGCGCAACCGCCTGAAGCGAAGATGGGCCGGCGCATTTGCAGAAGCGCTGAAAAATCATGGCTACTATCACAACGGGAGGAAGCGAACGGGACCAAAAGACGGCAAGAAATATATCCCTGGTCTGAGAGGCACGCTTGAAATCCTCATATTCGCTGATCGTGGCATCACTTGTCCTCACCACGAACTCGTCGGCGCGTCTAACGCCTTGGTCAAGTCTTTGGTCCGGAAGGTGCAACAGCTGGAACCTAAAGTCAAATCCGGGCAAGACAAGGAACATTGGGATGGTGGAGAGAGCACCCAGGCTCCCAGAGAAGTTTCATCATCGCTTTGGTCTCTCTGGCGGAAACTCCTGTGAGCGAGACGGTTGCCCCCTTTGGCAAACAACTGGATTCCGCATGAGCGCCGAGGAATGCTTTTCCAACGGCACTAACTGTGTTTCGTCCCTTTTCTAGACGCAGATGTTGCCCTTCAGAGGACCAATCCTTCCAACCAGTTCGGAATTCAGAAACCCTGTTTGACTTGGTATTCGGGGTTATTTGGTATCAATGGCGGAGGAAGCGTCCACTTCGATATCTGGCCACAACCGACCTTCGTCACAGTTGTTCCCTGAGAGCTCGTCAAGCTCCTCAACAAAGATATTGCTCTCACCTGTTGCATGGAGAATGGTTCCAGAAGACCACAAGAGTGGTGTGCAAACGGGCAAGTCTGTTGGAGTTCTTCTTACTGCACCGTCGCCTTACTAGAGTCGCAAACGAGTGCTTGCGGAGCCACGTCGATGTTCTCAGGATATCATGAAGGTGGTGGCAAACCGACACGGGAAAGACTTGTAGCAAATTGCTTTCCTCGAGCAAATGAAGAAACAGGAGCAAGCTTGGGCGACATGTGATGTCAATACTCGGTTCTCATCGATGTGAAGCATCTGTGCTAATTGAGCGGCATCAGTGTCGGGTGAGAGACCCTCTCGAGCGAATGTAAATTTATTGTAGGGTGGAAAGCTTGTCTGCTCAGGACGCATGTTGCTGTAAGCCAGAAAATATCATCTGTCCTGCTTGTCTCGTTCAATTTCACTATGCCTTCACCCCTGAGGGGATCAGGAGGAATTCGCAGATGCACGTGACCTGGAATTTCCATTGACTTTCCGCTCTGCTGCAGACGCGACACCCTACTGCTCACATTCTGATTTCGCCCGTTCCCTTCAGGTCGTTCGCTTCCGTGTCCCCACGCTTCCACAGCCATACCTGAGCTCCCAAGATGCTGGTGTCCTTGACGGTGGGCAAGGTTGACGCAGGAGTTGCGGTCCTCCTCACCCAAGACAAGAGACTGGTGAGGCGGACAAGTCGCGAACTGGCGCATGGTGCTCACATTTCGCGTTAGATTGAGTTTCCCTCCATCCTACTCCCCTCGACGATCACCTCCGGCTCAATCGTCGATATCGAAGTCAAGCAGAACCATGAGGCCGAACAAAAAGCACAAGCGGCGTTCGCGGCGCTACAGACCCGGATACTCAACACCTATGGCATCAACGTCCCAGCAACGCCTGTCCTCCGACTCCGAAATGCCACTCAAACGTCCCTCGTCCTTGAATGGGACCCGATCCAGTTAGCGACCACAACTCTGCGATCGCTTGCTCTCTACCGCAATGGAAGCAAAGCAGGAAATATCCCCCGTCCGCTCGAGACGCTCAGCACGAAGATGAGCGGGCTGCAGATCGACACGGAATACTCGTTCTACCTCGTACTCAAGACAAGTGGTGGCGTGTATACGAGTAACACCCTGGCCGTCAAGACGCACACCATGAACAACTTGACCGGCATAACTGTCACTCCTGGAATCCTTCCTCCACAACTGAGAGAGAGCCTCGAGATGGCCATTGAACGCATTGGAGCCAAGATCAACGACACCATCAGAATCGATACCACCCACTTTGTTTGCACCGAAGGTCGTGGACGAGAGTGGGAAAGGGCAAATGAGATGAACATCCCGATTGTGAGACCCGAGTGGGTCGAAGGTTGTGAACGGGAAGGCAAGATCATCGGCGTTCGTGGATACTATCTCGACGCAGATCCCAAACAGAGACAAGTCGGATCTAATCCTTCACTCGCACAAGCTCGCCCTTCTACGACAACCGCGCCGCAACAAGCCGATATCCCTCAACGGCCGAAAGAACCAACACCCAAGAGCCCTGACCGAGAAAGCACAGTCAGCGGAGAGCCGGGTCCAGAGGTGCTTCCCACGCCTCCATTACAAAAAGATTTACCTCCGACACCGGCCGATGATGACGACGATGGGGACGGCGAGGAGGAAGAGGAAGAGAAAGAGCCGAACGATCATCAGGAACCCACAACTGGATCAAAAGGAAAGGGAAAAGCCACCGACGAAGAGCCAGCAGACGCGGATGATGACGATGACGACGATGAAGAAGAATCGCATGAGGCCCAACACCCATCTAAACCTAAAGATGGGAACGGCGCCGAGATGGAAGATGTCGCATTATGATGCCAGAACCAGTTTGATCTCAGAAACATTCTCACGCAGAAGCCCTGTGAGGTGGCCGTGCCCCAGAAGGACGCAGAGTGATGCATTCCGCTCGACTGCGATCGTGGTGACTTCTGCTGTCCAGTCCGTCTGGCCGTTGAGCATTAAACACATTACCATCTGGATCAAGGTCCAGGCACCGCGAGACAACAAGCACGGGAGGGAATGGCAGTACGCGCGGAAAACATCATTTCTGGGTTCAGCTTCTGTCTCCAGGAGGTAAGCTGAGCTGTGGCTGTTTGCCATGTTCGGAAGCAGACGGCTTCGAGTTATCGGCACTCGTCGTCAATGCAAACAGCTTCCTGCAGGACATGGCAGGCGTAGTCCCGAGGACCAAGAAATCTTGAGCGGATTTCGTGCTCGAGATGTCCTCGTCCCAGGCCTCGAAAGACTATTAAGGAATCGACATCGGACCAACACCTCTACTGGGAAAAATACAACATCCTCAGCAAGTCACGGAAACTCGGAGAATTATCAGTTGCACCGGTTGGTTCTATTTCCGTGGTGTCAGCATTCAGTTGGACTTAATCCCGTGCCTCGTACCCAGCCGCAAGCTTGATTGCCGATTTAGCCACTCAGAGCTCAGCCTTGTGCTGCGCATCTGCAGCCAAGCAGCCAGGACGAAGAAACAACTGATGTCGGATTTTGGCTCGTGGTCTTTTCGAAGCATGCCACGCCAGACTGGCTCAGAACACGTTGCAGCGTGCCCAGACGTCCGTGGCTGTCGAGGGATCCGAAAATCATGTATCCTAAGTATAAGAGCGAATGAACACCGGCCTGGTACGGATGGACCCTTCCTCCCAGCATCCCAACTGAATACATACCAACTGCAGAACCAACACTCTCTTTACCTCCCTTTCCTATCGTCAGTCTCTGTCTTGTTTCCTTAACACGCTCACTATCTTACTCTAATCGACACTGCACCCTTTTCAGTGTATTCATTACCTTCCACTCGTTCCAGCCAAGCCATCAGTAGCAGTCAGTTTCTACCCTTGACCAACCACTCGAAGAAAGCAAAGCACAGTCCGAAATGTACGCACAATCCATCGTGGCAGGTCTCCTCAGCATCGCGGCCTTGACTACCGCCGTACCTCTCACTGTCCGCACCTCGTCCACTACCTCTGACTTCTCGAATGGCACGTCTACCAACAGTGTTGCCTACAACAACGGCACATGGACCAACTCTTCAAGCACTGTGGCACCTTTTGCCTACAACAACGGCACATGGACCAACACTTCAAGCACTGTGGCACCTTTTGCCTACAACAACGG